ATAGTCCCCAATTACAAGGGAGACTCGCGCTCGGATTGCGGCAACCATAGAGGATTCAGTCTGATCCCCATTACTTCCAAATTACTTGCCTCTGTCAACCTTCACAGCATGAATGGCGCTCGTGAAAGCCAGATTCGTGAGGAGCAAGCCGGATTTCTTTGGGGTCGTGGCTGCATTGACCACGTCTTCACTTTGCGTCAGTTGTTAGAGCACGGTCACGTATATTGGCTGCCCACCGTTGTCGTGTTCTTCGACATCACAAGTGCATTCGATTCGCTTGATCGATGTGCCCTTTGGAACTGTCTACTCAGGAAAGGTGTACTTGAGAAATATGTAAATATTATCCGATCGTTATACGCGCGTAGCTCAGGCAGAGTGAGGGCTTACGGCAAGTTGTGGCCGCCCTTTAGTATCTCCAGCGGTGTAAGACAAGGATGCCCGCTGTCACCTCTCATCTTCAACTTCGCTATTGACGAAGTCATGGAAATCGCGTTCAAAGGACACGACTTGGAAGGTGTGGATCTGCTCCCAGGAGAACGACTTCTTGATATGGAGTATGCAAACGACACTACCCTAATCTGTGACAGCTCCCAGTCATGCTAAGCGGCACTGGACAGATTAAAACTGGCTGTCAGCCGCTTCGCGCTTTGCTTTGCATCGTCAAAGTGCAAAGCGTTTCTCCAAGGTTGGCAGGGCTCGCCTCCTGCGCTGACCCTTGGTGCGGATCAGCTAGAAGCGGTTCAGAACTTTAACTACCTAGGAAGTTGTATCAGTGCCCTTGGGAATGAAGATGAGATCACGAACCGTATAGCAAAAGCTCGACTTGATTTTGCCAGTCTTCGCCACCTATTGCGCCGGCGCGACATCACTCTCGCCCTGAAGGGTAGAGTGTACAAAGCGGCGGTACGTTTGACCTTACTGTACGGTTGCGAAACCTGGCCCCTTAGATCAGCAGACATAAAGAGGCTGTTTACCTTCGACCATGGATATCTCCGCAGTTTAGCTCACATCTGGTGGGAACACCGTGTGAGTAACGAGCATGTTCGACGCCTTGTTTGCGGCACAGGAAAAAGAACGGAACCGCACAGCACTGTCATTTCACGTATCAGGCTCCGATGGCTCGGCCACGTGCTACGCTGCCAGCCCCCCGAGTTCCGCGACGTGTGTTTTTTGCGCGCCTGGGGTGTGGATGGAAGAAGAGGAAGGGTGGCCAAATAATGACTTGGTCGAGAGGAGTAAAGGCTCTCACTTCGGACCTGTGCTCGGTTGGAGCTTCACGGCTCCCTGGTTTTGGTCGGAAAGGCGATGAACACGTTTGACTAGATACAGGTGCTGACATTGCTAGGAGCCGACCTCAGTGTCGTTCGTGCTGTGAGTTTCTTTGTCCCACCCCATCCGCCTAAGCCTCCCAATCCAACTACGATGTCATTATTTCACATTGTATAATTTTGCATTGTAAATTATTTTTTGCTGCTGCATTGTAGTAGCCGTCTGGTAGCTTACCGGAACGATGTCCATCCTTTAACGGTAGCCCAGCTGGCTTGAACCTGTTTCATTTTATTCCCTTTTTTCTTTTAGTTATTGCGGCACATTATCTGAGGTGTTTCCCCACCTCTAGCTAACCTGTATAGTGTGTGTGCGTGTTCCATCACGGAACCTCGCTATGTTAGGGTTGAACTACTGCCAGGTTGCAAATTGTTAGGTCTGAATTATGCGGACGTAACTTGTTGCTGTTTGACTATCGCGCTACCCTGGAATGTCTCCATCATTTAGTACACACTTTTCGTCAAGAGGCGACGAGAATTAAGGTGGTGCGATGGTTTTTGTGGCTCAGTTATCCATTGAGCTATGTAGGTGGGGCATTTTGCACCTTCAGAACCACCCATACCAGACTAGTCAATGGTTAGATGCCAGACAATATCCTTTTTCTGGTCTTCCAAGTTGCGGATTGAAGTGAGGGTGGCTCCTTACTCCAGAAAACGGGGGCGCTCTGTAGCCCAGTGCCATAACCCCACTGTCTTGCGGTAAGGTTTTTTTAACCAAAGACTTTGATTGAGAACCCTAATCGTTCTCCTGTCTTGGTTTGGGCAACCGGACGGTATGCTGCCCACGCAATACAATGAACTCATCTACAAACAAATTCTTGATGCTCTGGGGGTCGCAGAGAATAGCCAACGGCGCCCTATCTGCTGCATCGAGCAGGGTAGATAGGAGTGAGGACGCTACTGCTCAAATCTTCCCGTTTTATTACTCCTCCTCTTGCGTTTTTTCATCCTTCTCGTCCCGTTCCAACTTCACTTTTATCCCCCTGCTTTCAGCCCTTATTTCTTTGCCCTCCTCCATTTTGTTTTAATGGCCTTTAATAGTCTTCCATTTTCCGCTCACGCACAATCGCAGGGCGTTTCTCCGATGCAGTCAACAAGTCCATGTTCCACCTTGCGGACAATATCAGTTAATCGATTACAATTTGGAGCCCTCGATTCTCTCTAAGCATGGCATGCCTCAACGTGCTCAACTTGTTACAGATTGACCAGCAGACAGCACTTACCCGAACACTAAAGACCCTATCGATCGAGCCCTGTGTCTACCCTGTGATCCCCCACATATGACACATGAGGCACCTTATCATTGCGCCTAGCCGGTGATGACTCAGCTTCGAATCCCGGCCAAGGCGGTGTGGGCATTGTTTTTAGCCCCCGGTCTGAAGCTCCCCTGATCCACTGGATCCTAGTAGACACCCGGATTTGCGCCGTCAGATTGGCCGGCTCATTCAAAACTTCGAAGTCGTGCGAGGTCAAACGGTACCCGTTTGTCAGTACTCCATACGCGCCCACAAACTGTAGCACTAACTCAGTAAAAGATGACTTCTATCACCAACTGCACGAGCTTCTTTGTTACTGAGGTGCTTGCTGGTGACCTGAACGCCAAGTTGGATATTTATCCACTGATATGCTACATCTGGGTTGCCAACATAGTGTAGGCTCCCGTAATGAGAACGATAAGCAGTTACTACACATCTGTGAATATGATAGAAGTCGTACGTGAGATCAGACTGTTGAAAGTAAATAAGGCCGCAGGAGCAGATAGACTTCCTCCAACCATCTCCAAATTCGGATGCTCAGCTCTCATGGATGATTAGCACAACTTACTAGTGAAGTTGTGGGAGCAGGACACAGTCCCAGCATGCTGAGGTCGCTCCGCTGTAGTCACATTTCTCAAAGGAGGCTCACGCTCAGAATGCGGCAATCTTAGAGGAATCAGTTTGAGCAAACCTGCCTCCAAATTGCTTGTTTCTGTCGTTTTCTACAAATTGCCTGGCATCCGTGAAAGCCAGATTCGCGAGGACCAAGTAGGGTTTCGTCGAAATCGAGGCTACGTTAATCACATCTTCCCTTTACGCCGGTTGGTGGGCCACCACCATGTTTCTGGCGACCCACCGTAATCTGGCTTCTCAACATCAAAGGTATCTTAGATTCGGTTGATCGGTGTACCCCTTGTGACTGTTATGTATTGCGCCGCTTTAGCTGGAGTTTGTTTCTCACCCTATGCTGACATGTATTGGTGGTGCTGATAATGAGTACACGCTTCACACCTTGGAAGTGCCAAGTGTCGTTGCTGAACAACTAGCCATTTGGTGACCCCTGACTCTTGAGTGCGAGGAACTGAAATTGGCGGACCAGTCCCTCTGTCTTTCCAAACACAATGGCAACGATGTTCGCGTGCCTGCTGAAATTAGTTCATGCACTCTGAAGCTAGAAATACCTTCATGAATGTGCGACATTTGTGGCGTCAGCAGGAGTTTCCCTCGTTCTGAAAGGTCGTCTTACTTTATAGGGGTGAAACCTAAACTTTTGCGATACTTGAAGTTTTTAAACACCGATTCCTACGGGGCATTGCTTGTGCCGGATGGTACCAACACGTCTAAAAGGATTACATAAATAGGCTAGTTCTACGCAGACACAGATTGGTTCTTCTGAACATTAAGTAGGTTTTTCGACTCGACCACAGGGCCCCGTTCATCAAAAATCATGCAGTGATCCGCGGTAGCCTTGAAATGATTACAATTGTTCCTCAGAAGTACGTGTTATTATCCATCCCTTCAAAGGCAATATTACATTTGGCCTGCTGAGCAGAAAATTTTCCACTGCAGTGGCTCGAACTTTCCCTGCCACCTACCCACACATCTTTGCAGAAACCGCTCAAAGACAGACCTCCGGTTCAACCCCAATCCTACATTCTACATCAGTTTACATGCACCTGTGGTGGGAGGTACGTTGGACACAACTAGGCGTCTGTCTAAAAGCGTAGCGGAGCACTGCCCAGCGTCTTTGCGGAAACGCATTGTCAATCGCACTAACAGTTCCATCCTGAAACATCTGGTCGAATGCGGACATCAAAGTAGGACCGTTGATGACTTCAGAATAGTTTGTGTCGTGCCGAAACGGTATCCCAACGACCTTGGGAAACAAGTTTTACGGACGGCCGAAGTGATCGTGAGTAAGATAACACAACCAAAACTATGCAACCAGAAGGCCTTATTGCAAAGGTTGTTCCTACCTTGGCCGTAATTGGGTTGCCAATATCTACCACTTCATATGCTGAATCTGATCGGGTGATGCAATTGGCATTTCACCGATCAACCAAAATATGCTCTGTCACCTGAGCTAGACGGCTTTGTCGATCAAGACGTTTGAGTTTCTGACTACTGTGATTCCCTTAAGCGCTTTTTGCTTTATCAGCTGTTTGTGCTCTAACATTCTGTATTATAGTTGTAAATATCTGAAGAGATTTGTCGAAGGAAGTACTCTTCGCTAAATTGCGTCCTATGTACTTCTATTGACGGCGATGATGAAGCGATTTATGGCCCAGTTTGTTAGCTTTTCCATTCCTTCTCGTTTGCCATCAGTCCATGTTTCTTAAAATTCCTGGCTAATGGCAACTGAGGACAAATTGGTCCGCATTCATATGTTACACTGCTGCTTTATCTCTATTTCATACAGCACTTGCAGGATCGTATGCATCGAATACTTGAGGCATGGCGATCAGCGAAACAATGCTTGAAAGACCTCGATCAGAGGGCAAACCGCACTCGACGGCTACGTATACGTCAGTCTACTACCGACGCACCACCGACCACTCCTTCGTTGAAGCAAACTACTGAGCTTGACGCCGCCACATGCTCAACAGATAATAATACTACAGAGGGTGTATGTTCTCCCCATTGCTTCCAGGTGCTGTGAAATGTATGACCCCCTCCGTTGTATGCTGGTGTTGTGACCCCTTTATTCTCTCCTGTTTAGTCGATACTCACTATAGCATCTCACGATGTGTAGTTTAGCATGCTTTATATATGCTTATGGATTATACAAAATCGTTTTATTATACCCTGTTTTCTATCCACCTCGGTTGTTATTGTTAGGTGATAGTATGTTACCGACTGCCGGCTTGCGAGCACCATAACTTCGCACTCGGGGCTCGCACCAGATCTGCGATACATCTCACATGGACCTACAGTGAAGCGTGACCACATTCTACATGTTTTCAATGCAGGGTGGCCACGCATATGCGTCGTACATTCCCACCAAATGGATTATTCCAATGTACGTCCTACCATTGGTCTGCGGGTGACGTGATACGCCGCCGACCATGTGCCAGGTCCTAATATATGAACCATTAGAAGCATCGTAATAATTTCGCTGATAATGGATCACCAAACGCGACACAGCTACTTTGATTTGCCGCAGCATATGTGTTATTCACCAGCAATTCTGAATGTGCTATTGTCTCCTAGTCAGTGGCCATTTCAAGGTGTTGTGGGTGCTCTGGTAGTGAATGCCATGTGGAACCGTAGTCCGCATGTCGACCTGCCAATCGACGCTGCCGCCTAATATGACATGCTGAATACGGCATTGGGGTAGTCCGTCGCAGGCAGCTATTTGGACATACTAGAAAGTCACATGGGTAACAAGCGTATACCTGGAATCTGTTAAGCTTCATCTGACAAACAAGCACGCATTCGTCTCACAGACTGTTATCGGCTGATGTTGAGGAAATAGATAAATGCGTACATCGGAATCAGAACAATCTCCAAGCGAAACTACAGGGCAGCTTATCAGCAGTAGATAAGGAGTGCCTGTAGTGTTCAGTGAAAAAAGAACACCAAAATCAAGCCGTAACTTGTATTAACCAACAAGTAGCCACTATAGAGGATAAATAGAAGTAGAACGAAGATGGAAGCACGTTACAGTTAACAATCTCATCTGTCATCTTATTCTTCTTCGGCAGCAACACAGCTGCGCGGCTCTGAAATTGAAGCGCGGACTGCGGTTCACGCGCTAAAAACTCAATCGCCTATTACATCACCCCATCTAATCTGGGAACATCCGCAGTGCCTGGCCAAAATCCCTTGTATAGGCACCTTTATTACAGCAGCAACTTCGAGTGAGTCGGTTGTACCGCCCTCGACTTGACTGGACTCTATTCGGAATGGCTTGAAGCAGCTAAAGTGTGCCGCTATGGTCTGGCTGGTTGCATTATCGACGAGCTTTACGATACACGTAGTATCGGACAGTACTCGATCCACTACATAGGGACCCACTAATTTTGTAGGTACCCCTTCGGACTGGGTCTGATATAACCAACCAAGCTTACTAACTGAGAGGGACGCCGAAAATATTTTTGTCATAGTACGCCGAACAACCTCGTGATGCCAGCCGGGAGGTTCGGGAATTTCCCGTTCCGGCGAATGGTTCGGCAGCAGTGTTCCAGGACGTGGTGGGTTTTCGCCTGGCTAGTGTGCTCCCTATAAAAAGCCACAAACGTCCGTTCAACAACACTGCGACGTGGCGGATGTGACTCGCCACTAAGTAAAGTCACTGCTCCTTGTCTTCTCTGGAGACATTGTACACCGGTGAGCAATCCGAACATCGGATCTTGTCTCTGAATTCAGGTGTCTTGGGCCCCTGGCATGACTTATCGTCGTCCGATAGGCGTATGAACTGAGTGTCCAGTCACCGGCTCCCAACGGGTGCGAATCCCTCATCTCGCCTTGCTGCCTTGTAGGTTAGGCCTTTTGACCTAAAACAACCTACCTTGCTCGGCCTAGGCAACCGGATAGTATCTCGCCTACTGACGAACCCTGAACTTACAACTACAACCATTCACACGCTCTATTGCTGCTACGATGCTATTCACTCACGCTACTGTGCCAAATTCACAGGCACACGCCACCATTTTACCAAACCTTAAATTGTACTATTCATACAGATTTTACCTGATTCCTCTATGGCGATCAACCACACTTACACCGATGAGCCTGTTCCCGTGAAATCTGCCAACCCAACCACACAGTGCCCAACCGAGAGCTGCTAGTCCCGAAGTCACCCATCTTTGCTCCTGCAACCCGGAACGCAGTTCAAACTTACAGCCTTCAACGTACGCACCTTACTACCGATCTGCCAGCAAGCTAGACTTGCGTGCACGCTAGACCCTTGGAATTGATATATGCTGCCAGCGCAACGCGACCCCAGGACTCTAACTAGGTCTAGCAGGTGGCGTCATCGCTCCACCCACGCATCCGCTTCCATCTCCGCTTCTCTGGTAATGCCGAGTCTGCCGCATCTGGGCAAGCTGGTGTTGGAATCGCCCTCAATGCTAGAGCCGAGACTGCTCTGATTGATTGGATTCCGATCAATAGTAGCCTTTGTGCGATGAGGCTCTATGGATCTTGTAAAGTTAGAAGATGTTGAGTCGAAAAGCATGCTCTCTGCCTACGCGCCCAGACTGTAGCTCGGACACAATCAAAGACCAGTTCTACCAGAACCTACATGAGCTGCTCCTAAGGGCTCCTAAAAGAGACATCATTGTGTTGGCAGGAGAGTTCAACGCGCGTGTCCGTCGGCTGCTTCCATGTAAGCACCACCTCGATGGACCGCATGGATATGATGATGTATGCTCAGACAAAGGAGAGAGACTGCTCAATCTGTGTGCTGATCATCAGCTTTTCCTCTGCAGCACGAGCTTTTGTCATCCTGGATGCCAATACGCCACATGGCGCTCCCCATCACCAACCTAGCGCTGGTCACAGATTGACCATATAGCCAAAAGACGCAGGCGGCACAGCAGCGTACGCCACTACCGATCATTTTGGTCAACATGCGTCGACACCGATCATGCACCGGTATGTGCGACAGTTTGCATGCGTTTCGGTTCACCTAGATCCAAACACACGCAACGGAACACCTACAAGTTGGAGGACCCAACGGTGAAGAAGGAGTATCAACAAAGATTTCGTGAAAATCTCCCTCTCTCCCACTCTGGATGTCGATCAACACTGGTCAAGTCTGAAACAAGCCATGCTGTCGGTCGGTTGGTCCAGCTGTGGCCTCACTCGCTCCACTTTCAAAAGCTGGATCTCGAGAAGATCCTCGGAATTGCTGGATCGTCGACGGGCAGTGCCTGCTGGCGCAGAGCACAACGAACCACGCCGGTCTATTACGCAACAGCTGAAAGCAAGCCTTCGCTCTGATCGTGAATCCTGGTGGTCAAAACAAGCAGATGTGATGGAAGCCGCTGCATCAGCTGGTAACTTCCGCCCTATTTTGCATCATCAGGGTCACCGGTTGCAATTCCGACGCTATCAGCCAGACAATTTGCGAATCAGATGGCACGAAGATCACTAACCTTCACAGGCTACTGGGTCGCTAGGCAGTGCATTTCACTCTTCAATTCAACAACCCAACACAACCCACATGGCATCTCCAGCCCAAACAGATGATGCTTGGCCTGCCCAACTAAAGCAGAGAGCCGAGATGCAGTCCAATCTTTGAAACGTCACATGGCTGCTAGTCCCGACAGTGTACCACCGACTCTATTCAACGATGGCGGGAGTGTATTTGTCAGCGAAATTTTATCGCTGAACACGAACGTTTGAACTGAGCAAAAGATTCCGAACTCATTGGGAGAATCGGTCATTGTTCCGATTCACAAGAAAGGCTCCCGCGACGATTGCTGTAAGTACCGGGGAATCACGTTGATCTCTGTCGCATCAAAAGTCTTTATATCGGTCCTACTTCGCAGGCTTTCAACGACTTGAGAGGAGTTTTCCTGAGAAGAACAAGCCGGATTTCGTCCAGGTTGCGGCTGCATCGACTAAATCTTCACGCTCCACCAACTTCTCCAACTCCGTCACATCCACCGGCAGCCAACTATCGTAGTGGTCTTAGATATGCGAGCGGCATTTGATTCAGTAGATAAATCTGCGTTGTGAAATTGCTTACTGAAGAAAGGTGTGCCCGAGAAGTTTGTAAGCATCATGGAAGTATGTTAGAGTCGCACGTAAAGCAAAGTCAGGGCTTACGGCACGCTCTCATCTTCGTTTGCTATGACCAGCGGTGTTCGCCAAGGTTGCCCTATTTCACCTTTCCTCTTCAATTTTGCCATCGAAGATATCGTCCAAGAAGCACTGGAAGGTGCCCAGAACTGCAGTGCTGTGCTCCTCCCTGGAGACGGAGTCACGGACTTAGACTACGCCGATAATATCGCCTTGCTGGGTGATGACCCACAAACCGTCCAGAGCGCTTTGGACCGCTTGGCGATGGAGGTGTCTAAGTACAGCTTATGCTTCACTCCTGGAAAATGTAAAACGGTGCTCCAGGACTGGCAGGTGCCTGAACCCGCGCTCACCATTGTTGGACATGTTCTGGAGCAAGTCCCTTGCTTTACTTAGCTAGGGATTTGGATCACTGCTAGTGGCGGTGTTGGAGATGAAGTCTCACAACGGATTGCAAAGGCCCGCCTTGCATTCATCAAACTGAGACACCTATGGCGTCGTCGCCATGTCAATCTCAAGCTCAGGGACAGGGTTTACAATGCTTCCATCCGTTCAGCACTCTTGTATGGCTGTGGGACTTGGCCTATTCGCTCGGAAGACCTGGAGCGGCTGTCAGTCTTCGACAATCGCTGTCTAAGAAGGATTGCTCGGGTGTGGTGGCAACACCACGTAATCAACGCAGAGGTCCGAAACCGAGTGCTTGGAGCGAGTAGTACCAGTCTTCAGAACGTTATTCTCCGACATCGCATGCGTTGGATCGGGCCGGTTTTGGGTATGCCAGCCCATCGCCTTCCACGTCGAGCGCTAGTTGCACTCTCAGGGAACGACTGAAAAAGTGCCGCGCTGGCTAGCCAATGACTTGGAGAAGCATGAAGAAGAAGACCTCAAGTTTGGCGGCAGTCAGACCAGTCCGTCTTCCAGGTTGGGGACCACTAGATACCGAATCTCAGTGGTTGGAAATATTGGATGTCATTTTTCGCAACAGACATCAGTGGCGTCAACGTCGTTCTGCCATGTTATCCTCCCTTTAATGCACACAAAACTCCC